AAAAAAAAAATCCACCAAAAGACAAAAGCAAAATCAAAAACAACAACAAAATACTAGATTGGATACTGTAATCTATAATCACAGAAAAGGTAGAGGAGGGAGAGAAGAAGAAGAAAAAAATCTGTAGCCTCATATGAGTATGACTATAATGTCCTCTTTCAACTTCTTGCCTTTAAAGCTGCCTGATAAATTTCACGATACTACTGTTGGTTGTTATGGTGTACCTCAGGATTTAATTTTCAGCCTTTTTTGTTTTTAAACTCTCTTTCCCTCTCCACAACCCTTTCTCTGGCCTTATCACTATTAAAAAACAGTTCAGGGCCGGCTTTTGGGCTGAGAGTATCTGTGCATGTGCGTGGCGGACAAATCCACCAGTGATGGGGGTGAGAGATGTCCACTTACTCAGGCTTTCCCTCTAGTCACCAGTATGGAGGTATGCAAACAGTGGGGGCCAATGAACAGATACCAAAAAGAAAAAAATATCAGAACAAAGCAAACTGACAAAGTGTATTGTCTACCTTTGCTCTAAGGTTTCCGTAGCATCATTCCCTGGTGAGTCTGTTCCCCAACTTGGTCTTGCTGTTTGGTCTCACCCAAATTGTCGGCTCTGGGCCGCGGAGCCCAGCAGATTGAAAAATACTCAATTTCTTACTTCCGCTACAAGTTCCACTAGCTATAAGCCTTCAAACTTTTTAAATATTTGTACTTATGTGGTTCAAAGTTTTGGAGCTCTGCCCTGAACCGTCTTCGCCTGGTATTCTGTGGTATTGCTGATGGCTAACTTCACTGCATCTCTATCCTATCTGCCATCAAGCCCCACCTCCTGGTTTGAGCTTCGCTGTTTTTTGAATCTTGGTTTCCCTTACCTACTATTGTAAAATAGACTCTTGACAGGGATAGAAAGGAATAGCCAGAAACATCACCACAGAAAGGACAAGCACACCAGCCTGGAATGGCTAGAAGAATAGGAGATGCTTCTTGAAAGAAAGACCAGCAGGAAAAATCAAATACAATAATGGCAGTCTGATTGACTACTACAAGAACAAGCAAGTCGTTCATCCCGAAGTCATCAAGGCAAGTGACCAAGTCCCTTCAGGGTAAACCCCTTTCCAAGACTAAGACTCAAGGGGAATACACGAGCAGGCATGTGGTCTTGCTGCTGAGCATGTTGGTCACTGATAAAGGAAAGGGGTGGCAGAAGAGCAATGAAGTTGTGAGCTAAGTCCGACCACGTTTAATAGACTCCTGTCAACCTGGGTTGAGACATGGTTGGCCCGCATTGTGGCAAGACTTGGGAACTCCTGGGCCCAGGGACAGGGACACAGCCACAGAGGATTAGAGTGGAAAGTGAAGGGTCCAGCTGATATGAAGTGAGGAGAGATGCACAGGAACACCCATACTTGCAGATAGTACCCATTTGACCTGGCTTCAATGGCTGGATGACCAGAACTCAACTAGAAGAAGAAAGAAGAGAAGGAGAAAAAAAGAATAATCTGCTACAATTTGATGAACTTGACCTATGCTTGTGGATGTAGTAGCACAAAAGAGGAAATGAATCTTTACAGCGAGGCTCATTCCCACTCCCTCGGTACACAGGGTTGACAGGGATGGGCAGTTCAGACATTGGCTACCCAAAATGGGGGGTGCTACAAAGGCATGAAGTGACTGGCTTACAAGCTTTCAAGAGGGAGCCTAGTTTCAGAGGGTACGGGGGGAAGTAGAATCTTCACAGAGTGGTTTCCAACCTGTCTGGACAGGACTGGTGAGAGGAGATGGGGGTAAGACTCTTGTGGTTCAGTAGTGAATAATTGCTATCAGGACTGATTGTGAGTGTTGCAAATGTAAAGGTAGATGTTTTGTAACAAAAGGAGGAGAGTGGCTGACCTTGCAGTCCAGGAATGGAGGACCCTGGGACCATCATTGGAGAAGAGCAGTGTGCGGGACCCTATCCAGAAAAGCAGTGATGCCAGAGATGGAGGCAGAGATGATGACATGGAGATATGGAGCAGCTGGTGACTCTGGACTCTGGGAGGAAGAGGGTCTGTGTGTTGATGGCCAGGAGGCAGGATTGCAGGGTGTACCCTTTGGCTGTTTGATGATGCATGCACGGAATTGTAGTCATTGCAATGAAACGAAATAAGATAGGATGAATGTAAAGCTAATATTCTTCCATGTAAACTCTCACATGATTCACAGTAAAAACTTATACATATATAAAAAAAAAGTAGTATATGATCAAGAGCAAATAATCCTGAAGAAAGAAGGGAAGAAGTCTGAGGTGCACTGAGGAACTGGCAAAGAACAAGGCACCGGGAATTGATGGAATAAAATTGAAATCTTTCAAGACAGTGAGGCAGCACTGGAGACACTCACTCATCTATGCCAAGAATTTTGGAAGACAACTATCTGGCCAACTGGTGTGCCCATTCCAAAGAGAGGTGACCCAAGGGAATGCAGAAATTATCGGACAATCAATTTGATACCCCATGTGAGTAAAGTTTTACTAAAGGTAATACAGAAATGGCTGCAAGCATACATTGACAGACAACTTTAAGAGGTTCAAGCCAGAATCTGAAGAGGCTGTGGAACAAGAGATATCATTGCTGATGTCCAATGGATCTTGGCTGAAAGCAGAGAATATCAGAAAGATGTTTGTCTGTGTTTTATTGACTATGCAAAGGCTTTCGATTATGTGGATCATGACAAGCTATGGACAACATTATGAAGTATAAGTATTCTGGAACACTTAATTGTGCTCATGAGGAACCTGTACCCGGACCAAGTGACAGTTGTTCGAACAGAACACAGGAACACCGAATGGTTTAAAATGAGGAATGGTGTGTGCCAGGGTTGTATTCTTTCACCATACATATTCAACCTGTATGCTGAGCAAATATTCCAAGAAGCTGGGTTCTATGAAGAAAAAGGTGGCATCAGGATTGGAGGAAGACTCATTAACAACCTGTGATATGCAGATGATATAACCTTGTTTGCTGAAAGTGAAGAGGACTTAAAATACTCTCTAATTAAGATAAAAGACCACAGCCTTCGGTATGGATTGCATCTCAATGTAAAGAAAACAAATCCTCACCAGTGGACCAATAACCACCATATAAATGGAAAGAAGATTGAAGTTGTCAAAGACTTCATTTTGCTTGGATCAATCAACAGTCATGGAAGCAGCAATCAAGAATCAAACGACATATTGCATTAGGCAAATCTGATACACAAGACCTTAATAATGAAGAGCAAAGATGTTAGTTTGAGGTCTAAGGTGCAACTAACCCAAGCCATGGTATTTTCAATAACTTCATATACATGCAAAAGTTGGACAGTGAATAAGGAAGATCATAGAAGAATTGACGCACTTGAGTTATGGTGTTGGAGGAGAATACTGAAAGTACCATGGGCTGCCAAAAGAACTAATAGATCTGTGATGGAAGAAGTGCAGCCAGAAGCGCTCCTTGAAGGTCAGGATGGCCAAACTTCGTCTCTCATACTTCGGACATATTGTCAGGAGGATCCGACACTGGAGAAGGATATCATGTTTGGTAAGGAGGAGGGTCAGAGAAAAAGAGGAAGACCCCCAGCAAGATGGATTGGCAATGTGGCAACATCAGTGGGCTCAAGCATGACAACAATTGTGAGGTTGGCCCAGGATCATGCAGTGTTTCGTTCTGTTGTGTATAGGGTCGCTATAAGTCGGTAACAACTCGATGGCACCTAACAACTAACAACAACAACAGAGGTACAATCCCACCACTCATCTGTCAGTTTGTCATATTTTGGTGACTTACATATTGCTGTGATTCTGGGGGACTAAGGTTTTCCTGATCTAAGCAATGGTATTTTCAGTCACCACATATTCATGCAAAAGCTGGATAATGAATAAGGAAGGCCGAAGAACTGTTGTCTGTAGATTATGGTGTTGTCGAAGAATATTAAATATACCATGGACTGCCAGAAGAACAAACAAATCTCCTTAGAAGAGAAAATAGCTAGACATTTCTCATGGCCTTTGATTATGTTGTCAGGATGGACCAGTCCCTGGCAAAGGACATCATGCTTAGTAGAGGGTCCCTGAAAAAGAGGCTCACAACAAGATGAATTGATTGATACAATGGGCTCAAATACAGCAATTATTGTCAGGAAGGTTCAGGATTGAGCAGTAGGGTCTCTATGAGTCTGAACAGACTCTACAGCACCTAACAACAAAGGATGCACAATACTTAGGTAAATAATACGTGGTTCAAACAAAATCAATATGTGAATTCCCCCGGCAGAATGCTGGTTTGTACTCTGGATCAATTAGATACCTTATTCTACCAAAGAGACAAAAAGAGGCTTCTTAAACAGAGAAGCGACTCCTCTCAAGTCGCACAGTCATATGTTAGAGGCAGAGCCCAAGGTTTCAAGAAACCCCTTCCAGGGAGAACAGTTTTCTGGGTGGTAAAATGCACTTACCTGGTGCTTGGACACTTAAAGGGCTAAGTGCGAGGTTCTGGCCCACCCCGCCTAACCTGCCTGCCTCACTGTCCTCCATTCTGTGAGCATCCAAGGTTTCTAGGTCTCCTGGACCTCGTCCTTGGTTCCTTGGGCAACGCTCAACTCAAGTCTGGCTCAGAACTCTGCAATTCTGGCGAGCCACACTCAGACCTTCCCCACGGCATTATTGCCATTTCCTATGACAGGTTGCTCAGGTCAGTTACCCGTGGACATCTGGCCCTGACGGCCCGCCTCTGTGCCCACTCAACCCTCCCTATCCTGTTGGGAATTCACACCAGGGCGGAGCTCGTACCCAAGTCCTGGCGAATGGTATCCGCGAGTTGGCATAAGGCCATCACAGGAAGGCAGGACAGTTAGTGTTGAGGAATGTCGTACGCAGCATGGAGCTTTATTGCGTCACCGCACCTCCAGCGCGCGGCTCGATCATCAGCACAGCACTGGCGTCCTCGCGCTTGCGCAGCTTCCTATGCCAGGTGCGCGTCCCAGGCGCGGGGCTGGCTTGGGCATCCAGCTTCTTCTGCAGCAGGTGCATGCGCGCTGTGGTCTCAGTCAGCATGTCCATGAGCAGTTCCTGCTGCAGTTTCAGGTAGTTGTTCTCCTCCAGCAGCATCTGGCTCTTGACCTGCAGCATGTGCAAGTCTGAGTCAGTTGGTGAACACAGCGGACGACGCTGCCGTCTCAGTGAGCCCTCGGCCGCCCAGCGGCCGCCGCGGAACACGAAGGCCTGGTCGTTAAGGCGCGTGCGTGGCGCACCATAGCAGAGGCCTAGCTCAGCCTGGCGTGTTCGGTGATCCAGCAGGTAGAAGGTGGACATGGAGGAGATGCGGCGTAGGGGTGGCCGTCGAGGAGAGAAGCGCCTAGAGAAGTGGTCAGCCCAGAACTGCCGCAGCTGCTCCCACAGGCGGCAGGCTTGGCCGGGGATCCGGCTCCCGAAGGCCTCCAGGGCGGGGTCTGGGTGGGCCCTTTCGGAGGTCAGAGGGCCCGAGGGGAGCCGTGGGGACGCTGGCGACCTGGGCCACGCCCTTGCTTCTGGAGGCCTGGTGTCCGGAATGCTGAAGGTGAGCCAGGGGCACTGATGGGTGGGAGGAGGGCAAGAGTGCAGGTGAGTGGTTGCAGGGGTTGGTCATCACCACATACTGTGAGGCCTTATGGACAAGGTTGGCCTTGCTGGCCGTGCTCAGGACTGACCACTGCTGACCACTTAAGCCATCCCTGCACATTCTCACTAGCTGCAGTCTCACCAAAACCACCTTCCCCAAAGACCCAAGGATAAATAGGAATTTGTCAGGTGGATTGAAGGCTGGGTATGGAGGACGTCTAGACCCAGTGAAGAGGTAGACAAGGCTGGTCCATTTCCCCATGTTAGGAAGAGCTTGGAGACTGTTGGTGTAGCATGTTTAGCTGGGATAACACAAGAGAAAGCTGAAAAGGTGAATCTATGTGATCTGAAGCTACTGTACTGGCAGGCTCAGAAGTTTAGACTTCATTATGAAGGTAAGAGGAAAGTGTGACTCCAGGGTTAGATCTGGATTCTGAAAAGTAACTAGTGGGTTGTCTAGCATAAGCAGCATGGTTATTGCCCTCATCAGTGAGTCATTTGACAGGCTCTACTGGCAGTTGCTCTTTGCCAGGCCCTGATTTGAGCAGAGGGTGCTAGCACAGCCAATGCCCACCCTCAAGATATTCCTTGTCCAACCAGGAAGGTAAGTATATGCAGATCAAGCCCACTGTGTTTAGTGACATCTTGGTGACATGTGTCATGGGCAAGGACCTATACTTAGTGCTCAATATAATGGGTGATGCAGACTAGACATTGACTTTTTCCAAGTCAAATGCATCCTCAAGGAAGCTAAACTTCAGACACACAGAAAAAGTCCCCTTCTTAGAAAGTGCTGGTTCTGTTTTCTGAGAAAGTGGGCTATGGATTCTTTCCCAAATTCTTCTTGCCCCAATGAGGAGTGAAAAGGGAAAAAACTAGGACAGGATTCCCTCTGTCATGGCTCCATTGATTCAACGTGCACTTTTTCTCATACCTAGCTGGGAGAGGCTAGGCGATACAATCCCCTAGATCTAGTTCAGGGGATTATCTGTAGAAGTCCTCAAAGAACCCAAGAGGAGAGAGCCAGGCCCACCCTTAAGGTTCGGTCTTCCTGGAGGGCCCTTCCCTGCACATTGAGTCTCACCTGGAAGATGTGGTGGAGGTACCGAGCTGCTGTCCCAGGCCTGGCCCCATCTCTCAATCACTCAACTCCTGTCACAAGCTCTGACTCATAATGCCTCTAGCCCAATACAGCATGGGTGCTTGCACATGAGCTATAAAATGGTCCCTAAACTTTCCATTCAGTGCAATTATTGAACATCTACTATATTCCAAGTACTGTTCTGAGGAAGTAAGATAGTCCCCCTTCAAGCTAACATTCTGAAGTATGTGTGTCTGTGTGTGTGGTGTGTTTGTAGGGGACAAATCATAAACAAGAGCCTGAGATAGGAATTTGTTCAGAGGTGTGAATAAGTGACATAGGGTTTGTACAATAAGTTCCCTAGAAGCAGAGCCTAAAATGGGAATTTTGTGTGTGAAGTGTTCTCAGGAGAAGGGAGTGAAGTAAACAGGACAGGGCTGGGAGAAAAGCTAAACAAAATGATAGTCTCTACTGGAAACTTGCCTCAGCCTGATCCCACAGGGAGCTCTGAGCACAAATTGCACTGCAGAGTTAGGCCTCATTAAGGCAAAAGGGCCAGTCTTCTTTTCTCTCACCACCTTTTCTATCAGTCATTGGGAGGGGCACCTGTGAGTTATCAATCAACACTTACAAGACCTGTGAGGTGGATGCACTACCAGTAAAAGACATCTGGGTGTCCTGCCAGCAGCTTGGGAAAGAAGAAAGAGAATAAAAGTGAAATGAATAAGAATTTTTGGTTGTGATATGTGCAACGAAAATAAAAGAAATACAGAAAGTGGAGCAGAATGAGGGGTAGAAACTAATTTAGAGCCAGTGCTCAAGGAGGTTACAGCATTCGTGCTAGGACAGGAAACCCCCAGTCACATGAAGACCTGGCACTGGGGGAGTGGGAGGGGGTGAGGAGGTTAGAAACAGGACAGAGCTTGGTCTATTTAAAGGATAGCATTCTGAATTGGGAGTATGGTATGGTGATGCAGGATAATGCACTGGACTGCAAGGTCAGTTTGAATTTCAAGTTCAACCATTCAACCCACCAGCTGTTCCTCAGAAGCCCTATACAGGGTCGCTATGAGTCAGAACCTACTTAACAGCACTTAACAACAACAACAACAACCCTGAATTGGGGCAGTGAAAAGAAATGAAGTCAGCCTTATCTGTTAGACCTACCCCCAGTTATCCAGTACCACATTTACTTGGGATTCCTGACCCCATGGGTCTTTTACAAAAGACTGATCCCATGTGTCTTTTACAAATGACCCTGACCCCCATGGGTCTTTGGGGACATTCCAGTCAATCTACCCCAACAAAGTGTCTTACCCAGCTCCAAAAGAGCTCACAGTCTGCTTCAGAGCCTCGTAGTAGTACCACCTCCTAGGAATTTTTTTCTGTAACAGTTTTATTGAGGTGTAATTGGCAATAATAAACTACATTGTTTTAAATGGATAATTTGATCAACAAAATTATCACCATAATCAAGATGGGGAAATTATCCACTACCTCCAGAAGTTTCCTCTGCTTCCATCACTATGGGTTAATTTGCCTTTTGTGGAATTTTAAAAGAATGAAATAATACAGTACTTTTTTTTCCAGTTGTATCTTTCAGCATAATTTAAGGTTCATGCTGCATGCATCAATAGCTCCTTTTTATTAATGAACATTATTCCATTTGTATCGAAATAGCCACAATATATTTTTCTGTTCCTTATTGATGGAAATTTGGTTGTTTCCACTTATTTATTTATTACAAATAAAACTTATGAAGTGTATAAATAAATAAAAATGTACAGAACAGAGTATACAAATCTGCGTAAACATCTGCTTTCATTTATCTTGACAAAATATCTAATAATGGAGATGCTGGGTCATATAAGTGTACGTTTAACACTTTATGAGGCAATGAAACTTCTTACAGCCTTGGAAACCCTATGGGGTATTTCTACTCTGTCCTATGGAGTCACTATGAGTTCAAATCAACTTAATGGCAATATGTTGTTATTGTTGTTAGGTGCCATAGTTACCCCATGCACAGCAGAACGAAACAATGTCCAATCCTGGGCCAACCTCACTACCGCTGCCACACTTGAGTCCATTAATGATGCCACTTGGCCAATTCATCTCATTAGGGGTCTTCCTCTTTTTCTCTGACCCTCCACCTTACCCAGCATGACATCCCTCTCCAGCGACTGTTCCCTCCTGACAATATGTCCAAAGCATGAAAGACGAAGCTTAGTCATCTTGGCCTCCAAGGAGCACTCTGGCTGCACTTCTTCCAAAACAGATCTATTGGTTCTTTTGGCAGTTTATGGCACTTTAAGTATTCTCCTCCAACACCACAACTTAAAGGCATCAATTCTTCTCCGATCTTCCTTATTCACTGTCCAGCTTTCGCATCCATATGAGATTATTGAAAATACCATGTCTTGGGTCAGGCGCACCTTAGTCCTCAAGGTGACATCTCTGCTCTTCAATACTTTAAAAAGTTCCTGTGCAGCAGATTTGCCCAATGCAATACGTCATCTGATCTCTTGACTGCTGCTTCCGTGAGTGTTGATAGTTGATCCAAGAAGAATGAAGTCCTTGACAACTTCAATCTTTTCTCCATTGATAAGAATGTTGTTTATTGGTCCAGTGGTGAGGATTTTTGTTTTCTTTACATTGAGATGCAATCCATATCGAAGGCTGTGCTCTTTGATCTCTGTAAGTAAATGTTTCAAGTCCTCTTCACTTTCAGCAAGCAAGGTTGTATCATCATACATACATATATATGTCTATATGTATATTGTCATGTACATGTTCGTAGTCCAGTGCTATAGAATCAGTACAAGGTTGGCAGTTCAAATACACAAGGCGTTCCTCAGAAACCATATGCAGGGTAGTTATGAGTCAGACCGACTCAACGGTACTTAACAACAATAAGTGAGTGTGTTGTTATTGTTGTTGTCAGGTGCCATTGAGTCGGTACCGACTCACAGCGACCTTATGAACAGCAAAACGAAACACTGCCCAATCCTGGGCCAACCTCACTACTGTTGACACGCTTGAGTCCATCGATGATGCCATTTGGCCAATCCATCTCATTGGGGTCTTCCTCTTTTTCTCTGACCCTCCACCTTACCAAACATGATGTCCTTCTCAAGCAACTGGTCCTTCTTGACAATATGTCTGCAGTATGAGAGACAAAGTTTGGCTGTTATGGTCTCCAAGGAGCACGCTGGCTGCACTTCTTCCAACACAGATCTGTTGGTTCCTTTGGCAGCCCATAGCACTTTCAATATTCTCCTCCAACACCATAACTCAAAAGCATCAAGTCTTTTACGGTCTTCCTTATTCACTGTCCAGCTTTCACATGCATATGAGTTTATTGAAAATGCCATGGCTTGGGTCAGGTGCACCTTAGTCCTCAAGCTGACGTCTTTGCTCTTCAGCGCTTTAAGAACGTCTCGTGCAGCAGATTTGCCTATTGCAATACGTCATTTAATTTCTTGACTACTGCTTCTGTGAGTGTTGATAGTTGATCCAAGAAGAAAGAAGTCCTTGACAACTTCAGTCTTCTCTCTATTGTTAAGAACGTTGTTTATTGATCCAGTGGTGAGAATTTTTGTTTTCTTTACATTGAGATGTGCTCTTTGATCTTCAT